GACCTCCGGCCATTCTAAAAGAAGGCAAGAAATGACTCTAGAAGAAGGCAATATTGGTTTAGAGGAGGGTACTCCGCAACCTCTAAAACGCCTTAAAATGCCTTAAAATACCTTTAAAAGAAGGATAATTTACTCTCTTTAAGAAAGATAAGACTCCAATATTATAATAGAAGAAATATCAATATAGAAGAGGGTAATTCGTAACCTCTAAAATGCCAGTACCTTCAAGTAGGAGAATAATCCACACTCTAATAAGAAGGAACTAGCTTTGATATGAAGATGAGAGCAGTCTCAACAAACTGTCATGAATATAGAATACTAACTAGAAACAAGAAACTCAAGAAGAATTGGTAAGAACTAGATTAATCAGATGAGTACAAAAACAACACTAGAGAGGTGAGCTAGAGCTCCAAGAAGTGTATTGTCGAAATTGAGGATCCCCTCAATCTCAGCTCTTATATATACTACCAGCTAGGAAGTTTCTCTAGTAGCTTCCACAAACTAGGAAGCTTCTCAAGTAACTTCCATGAGCTAGAAAGCTTCTCAAGCAGCTTCTACAAACTACAAAGCTTCTCTAAAATCTTTTAGAATCTTCTACAACTTCCTAGTATATGTCCTTGACATCAGGCCTTTTGTTGTTTGTCTTTGATACAACCTTTACAAGCAAGTATATTGGCATTATGGCTAAATTGACTAAGATCCATACTATTTACCATGGACTAGAGTTCCTTCATGCTCTTGGCATTCAAATGACCAAGGAGTTGATGCCAAATATCAAACTCGTCTTGATCAAGTAAAAATTCAACAAATATGGCCACTTCAACTCTATTCACCATCTTACACTTGATGAAGTAAAGGTTTCTATTTCTAAAGCCCTTAGCAACATCATCTCCATCTAATGTCTTTATAAAGCACCCATTCTTATCAAATTGTACCTTATAACCATGTGAAACTAAATTACTCAGCAAAAAGATATTTTTCTTGATCTTAGATACATGCAAGACATCTTTCAATTTAATCTTCCTCATTTGTCTTCTCACAACAATCTTCACTAGAATGGAACCTATTCCAATAGCTTGTATTATGCCATTGTCTTCCATAAAGATATTTGTTGCTGAAATTTCTTCATAAGTATCAAATGAACATTTGTATAGTATCATGTGCTTGGTCGCACCTGAATCAACAATCCACTTAGATATGGCAGCCATGGAAGTACCTTTATTTTCTATGAAAGGAAAATAATCTCCTCCAACTTACTCATATACATTGTTGGCACTTCTTCTATTTTATTTCTTTTGGCCTTATAGCAATTTTGTACAAAATGACTTGGTTTTCTACAAATGAAGTAAGTTTTGACATTACCTTATTGGTATGAAATATTATCCTTGCTTTGACACGAGAAGACTGTTGAATCTTTACTTTGAGGCTCTTTTTCTTTCCTCTTGGTCACTTCATAGGCAAGTCTTGCTATTACATAGTCTATTATAAGTTCTTTCAATTTAATGGATTCCAATGCCATAATGAGGTAGTTGTAGGATTCGAGAAGACTCATCAACAAAATCATGATAATATCACCCTCTTCTAAAGGCTTATCAACAATTGCTAGTTGATTTGCAAGAGCTTTTACCTTATTGACATGAGACATAAGATCTTCACCTTCTTCCATCTTAAAAGTGAAGAACTTCTTCCTTGTGAAGATGACGTTAGACAAGTTATTACTCTCATATATGTTACAATGAATTTTTAATGCTTCTGTTGGTCTTTTACAAGAGATGATGTGAGAAAAGTTGGCTTCATCTAAATTGGTGGCAATTATGCCAAAATCCTTCTTTTCACATCTTTTGATGTTTTTTTTCCTTGGAATCTGCATGTATGCTTGGAACCTCTTCATTTTCATCTATAATGTTCCAAAGGTCCAAAGATGCCAATAAAAGCTTTATTTTGATCTTCTAATGGCAGAAATTTTCTCCTCTAAGCTTTTCAATCACTCTCAAATCTTCATCTTCACTAGAAACCATGTCTAAAAAGGGCTCTATCTAAAAATATCAAGAAAAAGAGTCACTATAAGCTTAAAATCACCAAAATAATTTTACACTAGTAGAATCTCATAATGCCTTCTTATGAACAAATAAGTGCTTTTTTACTCAAAACACTCTCAACTCCAGCTTTAAAGCTTTTAATAAGTATGTATACTCTAATAAACCTCATTGTCATGAAATTTCATTCTTTGGAATCAATTATTTCACTATATATACAAGATAAGTGAAAGAATATCAGCGAAACAAAAGACATTATCAAGGTCTTTCTGTAACATCTTAAACTCTCAGTTTTTGGAGATAAGAATCTACAAAAAAATATTAGAGATCCATCAAGTCAAAGTCAGCACCTTTTCATGCCCAAAACATAAGTTTCAATCTTAGAAATTCTAACATCAACAAACACCATAAGATCTATTCCATATAAGTACAATGATAAGAGAATGATATTAACTTACTTAAATGGCACAATAAAGTGTGAGTGGGCCCATAATCTATTGAACGAATACAACAAGCAAGACACAAGTAAGTAGAAATCAGTAAGATTGTACACAAGAGAAGTGTGGAATGAGATACCTCTCACTTCCAACATCTTTTATTTATAAGTAGAGTTTACATCTATTATGGCTGAACTTCATCTTCATCCATCTTTGCTTCATCTAATAAAATCCTAACCGCCACTTAATCTAGTTGCCACTTAAAACCCTAAGTGCCACCTAAATCCTAGCCGCCATCTTAGTTACTTCCCTTCACTTTTTTGTTGATCTTTAACCATTAACAACTTATATAAGGTAATACTTACTTACTTTACCATGTCTATGATAATACTTATTTATTTTAATAATCTTTGATATCAACTTTATTTCTATATTGATTTAATATTCTTTGATAGTTGCAAAATAATTGTTATTAATTTTCTTCTCATCTTTCTATTTGATCAATGAAATAATCAGTCACAAGGTCTTTTTGCTACCAACTACATTCTTATAGACTATAGATAGTAGGTTGTGCTACTTAATAGTGAACTCCTTTGCTATCTCATTATAACATATATAGCTATTAGAAATTCATCTACATAATAGAATAAAAAAGGCATTGAAAAAAAAAAATTGACAAAACAAAATCAACAAAGGATACTTTTAAATTTGCTAGAATAGGATTTTGCATACAATATTATTTTTGGAGAAGAAATTTCAATACATTCCAAATACTAAAATCAAAATTTCTACTACAAGCTTTGCCTCCAAAAACTCTTGTAAGGAATATTGCTTCTTCACTCATTTGCTAATTAGCTTCATCACCCCTTCTAATTCCTATACAATTGTTGTGAATATAAACTAGGCTCCACTTAATAACAATGGCCTCCACAAACTTCTTTCGTGCCACAATTGCTATAATAGACCTTGCTTATTATGACTCTAAAATAGATACAAAAAAGCTCAAACAAGCATAGTGAGAAACCAAATGTCGAATGCAAAATAGAGACTAAGAGAGTGTTATCTTGAGAGTAGAGAATATAAGCAAGGATGTCGAGATGAGGCAAGGAGACTAATTTGGGTTTATTTTTTAGTTCCTTTTAAACATTAAATTAGAATTTTCTAAAGAAATTGAGAGAATTTGAAAGCAACCATGATTGTAATCATGTTAAAGAATATGATAATCATGATGAATGTAATTGGTTTTCATTGGTTGTAAATCTAATAGAAGAAAAATAAATTTAGAAGTTTTTTTTTTTTTCATGATTGTGATAATAGAAGAATTGATTTAATAAAAGATTGAATCTATTTAATATTCATATATATATTCATATATATATATTCATATATATATATATATATAATATTATTTAAGTACAATGTAATAAAATCATGTTATAAAGATTATATCTAAAAATAAAAATCTCTATTATACTTTAAGTAATAACCTACTATATTTTCTAAAAGATGTAAAATTTTTAAGTAATATCTTAATAAATATAACATGATATATTTAATATTATATTTTTTTAAACTATTAAAATATTTAATAACATAAAAATATCATTATTATAAATATCAATTATTATAAATATCAATTATGTATTAAAAGATAATAACATAAAAATATCATTATTATAAAAATTTAATAATTTATACTTATTTATTTAATCATTTAAAAAACTAATATTTAATTTTAAAAATAATGAATCAAATAGCAAGAATTTATATACATGTGAATTTATATCTATTTCTTCTCAATTGAATATAATTTTTACAAATCAAATTGTTAATGCCATTACTATTCTTTTTATCTATTATAAAATGATATTTTATTAGGATCAAATAAGATATTTTTGGACATTGCATCTATTTTAGTAGTCTTATTATTATTACTCATAAATTTAAATCTTATAGAACTTATGGTTGAAATCTCTATTGCAAAGCTAACACAAGTCTACCATATTACAAAAATAATACTTATTGTATTTAAGTTCTTAATTGATGAAATTTTTTTGTATAATTATTATTGGTCTCTTACACTTTCAAAAATGATTTTATATAATTTGTTCTCTATATTTTTACTTCTTTTTTATTTATTAGTCATTTTTAAAATAGTTGTATAATAAAATTTATTCTATAGAAAGATTCTTATGAATGTTCTACATATTATTTCTACACTAATATATGGTTTTTTCTACAATATATCAATGATTGATAAGTTTCTTTGTGCTGTAAAAACTAACTTGCGCTATTTCATAAATTTACCCAAACATAACAAATAAGCAAAAAAATTCCATAAGATAAAAACAAAAATACATGCATGTATGAATTAAGATGTTTTATAATATTTTAAAAAATTAAAATAAAGCAATGATTAATAGTGTGTGAAGTGTGTGAATTGCAAGACATCAAAGGGACAAGGATACAAGAACAAAGAGATGAGTTGCAATGGTGCAGAGATGGTGGTGGTGGGAGGGAGGCAGAAATGGTGGAAGGGATCATTGAAATCATGAAGAAGAAGTGGTAGGAAGGAAAGAAGGGAGTGGATCGAAGAAAGGAGGGAAGGAGAGATGGAAGAAGTGGCAGAAGAAGGGAGAGAGGGAGGGAGTGGCAGAAGAAGGGAGAGAGAGAGGGAGTGGCAGAAGAAGGGAGGGAGGGAGAGAGGGAGACACATAGACACACGTACACGCACGCACACACAAACAAACAGATAGATAGATAAATACAGTCAGAGAGAGAGAATGTGGAGTGGGAGTGTGAACAAGCACTCAGCCCTGCCATGGCACTTGTGGAAGGACGCCTCTGTGGCAACAGCCATGGCCAGCCCCAACCCCTGCCCTGCAGGAGGGAAAGAGGGAGTTAGTGGCAGAAGAGGGGAAGGAAGGAAAGAGGGAGGAAGTGGGAGAAGAAAGGAGGGAAGGAGAGAGGGAGGGAGTGGCAGAAGAGGGGAAGGAGGGAAAGATAGAGGAAGTGGCAGAAGAAACGAGGGAGGGAGAGTGGAAGGTAGTGGCAGAAGAAAAGAGGGAGAGAGAGAGGGAGGGAGTGGCAGAAGAAGGGAAGGAGGCAGAAATGGTGGAAGGAATCGTTGAAATCATGAAAAAGAGGTGGTAGGAAGGAAGGAAGGAAGTGGATCGAAGAAAGGAGGGAGGGAGAGAGGGAGGGAGTGGTAGAAGAGGGGAAGGAGGGAGAAAGAGAGGGAGTGGCACAAGAAGGGAGGGAGGGAGAGAGGGAGGGAGTGGCAGAAGAAAGGAAGGAGGCAGAAATGATGGAAGGAATCATTGAAATGATAAAGAAGAGGTGGTAGGAAGGAAAGAAGGAAGTGGTTCGAAGAAAGGACAAACGAAGAGAGGGAGGGAGTGGCAGAAGAAGGATGGGAGGCAGAAATGGTGGAAGGGGCAGAAGAAAGGAGGGAGGCAGAAATGGTGGAAGGGGCAGAAGAAAGGAGGGAGGCAGAAATGGTAGAAGGGATCATTGAAATCATGAAGAAGAGGTGGTAGGAAGGAAAGAAGGGAGTGATTCGAAGAAAGGACAAAGAAAGAGAGGGACGGAGTGGCAGAAGAAGGGTGGAAGGCAAAAATAGTGGAAGGGGCAGAAGAAAAGAGGGAGGCAAAAATGATGAAGGGATCGTGAA